CCGTTATTTGAATATTATAGGTGTGTAAACTCAGAAAAAATATTCTAAAAGAGTTCAGTAGTCCATAATAGTATTGGGTCTTCCGCTTGACTGGCAACGTCAGAAATTGTTGACCTGAGTCCCCTACAGCTCAACATAACAGTATGGCTTTACTTCTCATACTTTGTTTTTATACTTTTCTGCTGGATGGTTAAGACCAAGATAAAGCAGAACCTATACAAAAAGAGTTGTAGCTTTTGGATCTGATAAGCTCAGTCAAATCCCTCACTGTGCAGTTCTGACTTGTAATAATTTTTCTGTCTCAGCCACTCCAGCCCTGGGATTACAGCCATGCACCACCGCACCTGGTTTCAGTGGCCAGCAGGGTGCGCACTGATTTCTGAGTCGGTATCGTATGCAGTTGGGGGAATGGAACCCCCATCCTTGTGCTTGACAGGTGGGTGCTTAGACTGCAGAACTATCTCCCCAGCCCCTGATGTCATTTATAATATCATGCCTTTCCAGAGTTTCATGTGATAATGCTGGTGGAATCTGCAAACCAGAAGAAAAGAAAGACGTTTTATTGCTATACATTTCCCACATAGATTCAGGCCTTATGAACCAATCTGGAAGATAGAATAAATTTGCAAAGTTTTTACTACTTCCAGTTTCACTGAGGTTTGTTATTATCTTCACCATTGGACTCTAAGCACAAGCAGTTAGTAAACACTCAGGCAGTACTTTTTTGCTGATTTGTGAAAATGAGTAAATTTTCTTACCCTTCTGTACAGTGAAGTACTTTGTAAGATAAAGATTGGTATACTCCACGTGTGCCCAGAGACTCAAAGCTTTGAGGTTAGCAGTGATCAGCAGGGAAAGGGTGAAAGGGGCTCAGGTGACTCAGTGACAAACAGCCACTGAGAAAAAGGAGAGCATAGGGTTGAGGGGTCCTTTCCAAGTGAGAGGTAGGGCCATGGGTTCTGATTCCACAGCCTTGTCCTCTATGGGCTTTGCATGTAATCACATGTGATTCTGGATTTCCTAGGCAGGTGTATTTAAGGAAGGAATTAATCAAAACCTTGTGACCTAATGAGAACAAAAGTTGGGGGGTTGTGACAATTGTGAGAGGAGACAACATAGAATGGGCAGCTGAGTGGGTATAAGCCTAGGTTAGTCTTGGTCATAGAGGAGAAAGGTGAAGAAAACAAATTACAGTTGACAATAAAGAGTCATTCAGGAATCCCTGCACCACCAACCCCATCCCTACACCTGTCAGAGAGAAATGTCTTACTTAGGAAGAGCCTCCCATATTGAGTGTGATGGGACTGAGTGGTGTCTGACAGGCCCACAGCACCCATGAAATTATCCCCCCTCTCTTCTGCCATGTGACACATGAAGAGGCTACATGTTTACCCTGAGGCTCAGGATAATAAGAGTTGTGCATATTTCCTTCTGAGGGTGCTTCGCTTCTATCCTTGTAAAAGGGGAAGCTGTGGGAAAAGTATAACAGGTTACAAGGAACTGGTTAACAGCCATAAGTGGGAAGTTCAAAAATATTGAGGGAAGCAGGAAGGATAGGGGCAGAAGTCAGCAGAACTATATCACTGGCCTGCTTAGCACAGAGTTGGTAGAGTTGGTGAAGGAAAGTAAATGAACACTAAGAAGCCAGCCGTCTTACTGAGATGAATTATTTATTTAGGTGCTGGAATCTACTGTAGAGCAATTCTGGGCTTAGGTCCAGTAAAGATGGTTGTTCACAGAGGGGGCCTAGCTTGCACCCTGCTGTCAGTGGTGTCTCATGGTTTTCTTTATCCAGTCTCCATAGGATGAGAGCTTGGTGTAGACACCTGGAGGTCTCCCACTTTTTTTTCCATAGGAGACAATGCCCTGGGCCATATTATTACACACAAGGGGGCCTCCAGAGTCACCCTGTAAATAGAGAATGAGGCTGTGAGGCAGTGTGCCTCCTACATTTTTCCCCTCTGATATCTCATACCACTCTTGAAATACTACTTGCAGTCTCCTGGTGAGAGACAAGAGGGAAAAAACAGGCACTGTGGTACTTAGCAGCCAAGCTCTGACTGTGGACAGTGTTACTGCTTTTCCTAATTCTCAGTCAGCTTTTGTTCTCACTTCTAGTTTCTGGAACCGCATGCTTGTGGAGTCCTGTGGTACTATTGGTTTCAGGCTACTAATTTAAGAATATGGAGGCAGATGAGTGGGCAGGAAGGATGATCTCAATGACTAAGAGGGTCAGCAGGCTCTGAAAAGTCAATTGGCTATAATTACTCAACATGCAGGGGATGGGTTCTAATACTTGTGATGTGAACTCAGGCAGCATGTAACAAACTGATGCTTCCATAGGGGCACTCTTCACCACATGACCACTGATGAAATGCTAGGGTCCTTAGTTACTTACTTGCTCAGATTGGTCCCTTTTTCTCTTTTCAAGGAGAATTAGCACAGCCTACTCAGTGCAGCCTGCTCCTTGAGTCCCCTGCTCCTAAGTCTGTCTAAAACACCCTTCCTCCCAAAGCCAACAGTGAAAGACACCCAGTCTCACCTTAAGGGAGTGTTTTATAATCTTTGGGTCTCCAACACACATCTCTGTGGTGCTATCATATTTGGAAAATCGGGTCTCACACTCCTTATCCTTTTGCACTGCTATCTTCACTTCATGCAGCGTGTTTGGACTACTCCCATTTGGAGTCAACTGTCCCCATCCAGCCACCAGGCATATGGCACCTGGATTTACCTGGGACTTGTCATTTGGCAGCTTGATAAACTCCACCTCTTTAGTCAAGTTGGCCTTTTCCTCCAGCTGATGGGAAAGAAGTAAGAGTCCAGATCAGCCTTTGCCTCTGGGTCTGGACACAGCGATGGACATGATAGCAAAGAGGAAAGGTGCAGCATTCCAGTGTGAGGGGAAATGCTGTACAAGGAAAGGAAGAACAGCAGGTAGTTGTGCCTCACTTTTAGCAGCATGAGGTCTCTGGTGCGATTTCTACGATTGTACAGTGGGTGTGGAATGGATCTTTTCACACGTATGAGCTGCTGAGTCTTCTCCTGTTTCTTGATGTTGTGGGCTCCCAGCAGGACAATTGTTTCTAGATGTTCTGAGTATCTAGGGCTGTACAGAGAGGAGAGTGGGTTGAGGATATGGAACCAAAGGACCCGACCCAGGAACTGTATGGATCAGGCTACATCTTGTACTTTCTTGAACTCCAGGTGACAGTGGGGACACCTGTCTGAGTGACCATGTCCTCTGCTTCTTAGTAACGCAGGTTGAAATCATGGACTCTGGGCACCAGAAGTTCTCAGGGGTCAGTTACCTCCAGGAAAATACATGAAACTGCTTTACTTTCTTTTGTTATGCCTATGCATGGACTTAGTTCTTAATGCATCAGGCTTGCTTGCTCTGGTCTTTACTATGTCAGCAATTCCTTGGATGTCAACTTACTTAATTCCCATGGGATATGTGTAGTCTCTTTTTACCCTCAAACAGTCTCCTGTTTGAGTATTTCCAGGAGTTCAGGGGGCTTCTTGGGAGGAAGCAAAGCTGAGAAGCATTTCCCCAAGAATAGGTTGCTCTGCATTTCTCACCGGTTGAGACAGTGAGCAGCTGTCAGCACAAACTTCTCATGTATCAGGAAGCCACCACATATCGCTACAGAAGTATTATACCGGAACTCAAGGTAGGCCATGTAGGGGCGGGAGTGGGCTTTGGCTTCGTGTCCTCCAATGATCTCCCCTGAAAGAAAAAAAAAATGTTTTGAGCAGCCACTGAGTCACCACAAGATCATCTACTTGAGGGCTCCAGAATTTCTGGGCATTTGGCTGTGCTGGACCCAATGCAGTTGGGAAGAACCTGGAGACAGGAGCCTCAGCCTTTTCTGTACAGGGAGAGAAATCAGATCTTGGTCTTTAATTATTTTTGTCCATGAAGTTAGACATGAATATAGCTATCTGCCTGAGGTTGGACATAACCATAAGATCTCAGAGGCTTTTTGTAATTCATCTGCTCAGTTTTCATTTCCACTGAATGACTAAAATCCTCCAAGTCCTGTGGTACTTAGGATAGTGATGCATCATGGCAGACCTTCAGGTGTTTACTGTAGTTGTCATCTGATCATATTTCCTAGGGCCTCAAATGTACTGGGCGCCTCAGAACTCTTCACAGGGTGTGACAGAACAGCCCTAGGCAGTCTCTGGATGAAGGCTGGTAGGACAGTGTTGATGGGATTATGGAAGCTAGGGAAGTTAGAGTCTGCCTGTGTAGCTCATATGGGAAACAATACTCTGGTTTCTCTTCAGATCATATAAATCTTTCACCTTCTTCATATAGGAAACAGGAAGCCAGTGAGGCTTGGGACTAAAGAAGAATTGGAGAAAGGAACGGAATGAGAAAAGGCAAAAGTAGTGCTTTGAGGACAATGATTCCATACATTCTGGCCTCACTGATCTCTGAGCATCTCTGATAAGCAGCTGATAAGGGCTGCAGTTTTTCCTCCTAGACATAGAAGACAGGACTAATCTACATGCTCCAGAAGAGTTTGATATTTTCTCCTGTAACTTCTCACAATTGCCATGCACTTTGAGGAAAGATTCACTTCCCAGATGACAAAGAATGAACTCCTGAGGAGCTAGTGTCCCCTGGTTTTTGTTGAGAACAATTTGTGGTAGACTATCCAAGAGTCATTCCTGAAATTCTCTGTTAGGATTGAAACATAAGATCAGCGCAATACTGGTAGACATAAGGACCAGAGGTGTGCAGAAGAGAGGGCAACAATGTCCTCTGTAGAATGGGTTTGGGCTGTGGGAAGTAGTGATGGTGACTTACCTGCCCTTGTCCTTGGGGTCAGAAAGAAGGCCAACAGGAGCAGGAGCAGCTGCATCTTCCCAAGAAGGATTCCTGGGTGAGAGCCTCTGAAGCTTTGTCCTTGCTGTCATTTATGTCCCAGCAAAGGAAGGGGGAGGAGTCCCAGATGCCATCATTTATGTGACTGTGTGAGAATTGCATAGTGATGACAGCTGATGATTCAGAGAAGATCACTGGTTATAGTCCACAAGATGAACCCAAGAGAGCAAGGTGGGGGGTGGAGAATGGGATATTTGCCACCATAGCCTCAGAAACCTGGGTTCACAGTGACAGAATTTACAATTCCAGAGATCTGAGTCAATCAGGATAGATTCTGCAGCAGATAAGGTCCTCTTGTGTGAAGAGCAGGCCTGTTGAAGAGAAAGCAGATTATCTTGTGAAGGAGACAGAATCCTATAACCCAATTTCGTGAAGGCCATGGTGGAGTGATATACTAAGCAGTAAGACAGAATGGCCACCATGTGCATCATGTTTTATTTCCTTTAATTTATTTTTCAGTTTCTTTATTTTTTCAAGTATTTAAGAGGTAGTAGTTTAAAATTGTTGTTTAGTCTATGCAGTGTCTAGGATTTCTAGAAATGTTTTTAGGTAAATTGTCCTTTTGTGGGTATTATTTTATTGTTTATTTTATTCTTTGCAACCTTTTGCTGAAAATTGAGCATTAAGTATATTGCAAATGTGATGGTTTACTTACACAGCAAATGACATTTCCTTTTCCACAGCATTTTCTTTACTCAGGATCTGAAGTTCACACGATACCTTTCTTTGGAGATTAGTTCTTTTTTTTTTTTTTTGTCATTTTTCTCACGGTCTCGTGCTGTGTATGTTCCTGTCATGATTTTGATTTTGAAGGATGTGGTAGTTAATAGTAGTTAATTAACAACTCCAGAATAATCAATCTTCACCATTCCAGGCAGCCCTTTAATGTCTGCTTTATGTGAAATTAGGTATAGTAGAACCCTACGGGGTCTGTGTGAACACTGTTATGGTTTGCATCTAGGATGTCCCCCAAACCTTCTTGAGTCATGGATGGGACATATTCAGAATTGTCTGGATCTGAAGAGTGTGACAGCTGGAGTGATATATGGTGCCATACTAGTTTCATGGGCATTAGGATTAAGGGTATGAGTAATATCTGACCTCAGTAGCCTGAAGGAAATATAAGGAATAGAGTGATCTGTGGCCCTAACTTTCTTGCTTGTTTTCTCGTGCCAACCTTGAGTGGTTTCTCCATGGCTGGTCTGCCGTGAAACATTGCCTTAGAGTGATTGACTTATGAAATTAAACTTGTACAAATTGTGAGCTAAATAAATCACTCCTAGTATTGGATATTTTGCCTTAGCAGTGAGTGAAATTTAAATACAATTGTACTAGTGGCACAGTGCCAGTATGAGTGTCTGAGAAACCAATTGTTTCTTTTCTTTCATTATATTTCATTATGCTGAACCTTTACCCAATTTCCCAACATATGACTTTAAACTGTAGCCTGGAAGTCTCTGACACATTGCTGGACTCCACTCAATCCTCCAAAACACTGGTTCTATCCTTGAGGGTCTGATAAGCCAGTTATCAAGCTCCCTTGGGTATTGTACTTTAAGACTTTGGTTTGAAATTATGTTGTCTTCAATGCTTATGCACCACTCATAAATGGTACTTTAGGGGCCAGAGAAATAGCTCAGTAGAATAAGCACTTACCTGGCAAGCACAGGGTCCTGAGTTCAATCCCTGGTACCACAAAAAAATAAAATCATACTTTATGACTCCCAAGGACAAGATGGCTCTGAATTAGAGGGATTGGTATTAGCTCACATTAGCTGACTTCAGACTCCTCTCCAGAAATCTCACCTCTTCCCCAGTCTTCACAAGATTAGTGAGATAAAGGTTCTATGTGTTATAATGTGTTGAATGAGGTGTAAATACCCTTGTTCTGAGGAGATTCACAGCCTGGGTATGTGAGAAGGAAGGATATTTATAGTACAATTAACTGTAACCCGACTCACATAGGAAAAATAAGAGTAGGGCAAAGATACATCATGGGTGCTCTAAAATAATTTAACACTATTTTAGTGGCAGAATAAACATGTAAACAATGGATAAAACAGAAACCAAAGGACACCAGTGGTAATCCATACCTTACCATGTTTTAAGACATGTTATAAAGGGTTATATAGCTTATCACATTGAAATTTGTACACTCTACCCAATTGATATATTTGCAGATTCCAAAAAGAAACACTCAGAATTATTAAGTGATGTGCCAACCAGCATACTTTTTTTAAAGTTTGGATACAAAAATACACACGCTGGATGCTTTCTATATTGAACACTTTCCTGTCTAACATTTTTAGAAGTATTGGGAACCACACTGGGAAAATTCTGGAACCACAAAAGAAAGTGATCTTATAGTGTGTGTTGTCTTGGTAATGCCACTCTGCTTTATCCAAATACTTTCTTTCCAGGGAGTTCTTGAAATAGAGGCAGGACAATGTCTAAATGTACTTCCAGGTTACAATGGGTGTTGGCAAAGATCAGTTTTAAGATCTCATGCAGCTCTGAGTCAATTTCAGAGGCAGGATAGAACTAAACTGGGGACTGGGAATTGTGATCTCTGCTTCAGGTACATGGCTCAATTGCCTATTTGTGGGTTTCATGGTCTCACTTGTCAAAGGCCCTATTGACAGAGTAAAGGCTTTTAAATGTTTTTAACTATAATATCATATAAAATAGGTTATTTGTGTCAAGTGGTGTTTGGATTATGTGTGTGTCAAAGTGAATTTTAAAGTCTATGTCTTTCAATTTTCATGCACACTATTCCCATATTTAAATGTATATATGTACATTTGACTATGCATTCCTACACATATGCACTTCAGTATGTGTTTTGTGTATGATCACATATACAAATAAAGTAGTATGCATTTATATTTGTGCATGCTCAAGGGCATTGCTGTTATCTGATTTTGTTTGCTTGTGTGTCTTCATTTTTTTTTTCCTTTCTAAACATGCTGTGGACCATCTTTGTCTCAGGAGTAATTTTGCCCCTGAATCAGAAGTTTTAAAGTCAGCTGCTTTCCTGTCATTATGATGATGGCCTGGATCATTGATGTATTCTGCTATCAGGACCTCTACAAATCACAAGATGTGAGGGTGGTGGGAACCTAGAAGAAGTTATTTCCCCAATGTGAAAATCAGTTTTGTGATGGTGGTACTAGCACGTTGCATGTGGACACCTGTGCACAAGAGTAACTAGACTAGACTCCAAACACAGCACTCCTAATTTCCATCAAGACTGGTAGGGAATGGCTGCTGGCTATACTTGAGCCAAGACTGGCCCTAAAACAAGGATACTTTGTCATCCAATTGTCTCATTTTTTGTGTTTATATTAAATTTTATTATTTTTTATATTTTAATTTTATTGAGAAAGAAGTAGCAATGAGACAGTTTCAAAACAGTTTAGTAGGACAGTTGCAATAATCAACACATTGCATATTGTTGTCTTTGTATTAGCTATTCATAGTACAAAATGCAGACATTATATCTTGTCTAAACACTGTTAGTTCAAAACTTCTCATTGAACTAAGAGAAAGTAGCTGTATGTCTATGCTATTTTGTATACACAGTTATATGCTTTTTTTCCACTACAAAATGGATAACATTTATATCCACATTTTTTTTTTACTTTTGTCAGAGACAGGTATTCCATTGCCATACATATATTGTAGGTACATGAATTTAGCAAAATAATCCAATATAGTCCAGTAGTCTATAATGATAGTGGGTTATCCACATGACTGACAATGTCAGAAGTTGTTGATTTGAGCCTTTTACAGCTCAGCATATTAATATGCATTTACTTTTTATACCTCATTTTTATACTTTTCAGCTGGGTGGTTAAGACCAAGATAAAGCAAGACATATAACAAGAAATGTAACTTTTGTCCCTGATAAGGTCAGTCAAATCCCTCAGGATTTACCCTGAAACCCTGTACAGAAGTTTGTAGTTCTTTTGTCAGTGTCAGCCATGTGGATGAATCAATTGTCTCATAACACAAGTGTGGCATCGAGAATAAAAGCTGTCTGACTTGAGTGTCACTGTAGGCTGTGAAACTAAGAGTAACATTGACCACTGTGGTTTGTTTGTCAGAGGACATGCTCCATCTTTCTGGTATTGTGTGAGCTTCTTTAACTCTAGTGGTATTTAAAATAACTCATAGTATGTGGAACCACTTCTGTGTTAGAGTTTGAACTAAGACTTCTACTCCATGAGGTCAACCATCAAATGTGGTTGCTCTGGTTGTGTTTTTTCTCCATGCAGACATTTTTTTCCATTCCACACTTGTTCTAGTAAGCTAAAATGTGACAGTGCTCAGCAAAATTTTACATGTAAGCAACTTGCATGCTATTATCCTTAAAGAATTTTCTTTTATGTGGATTTACTAGACAAATTCAGGCTAAGCTGATTAACCCAGGTGAAGAACAAAGGCATCAGATCACACTCATTTGCTGCAAGCTGCTGCAAGTGTGTGGAGGCCTGGTTAATTCCCACCATTCTTGCTTTTGAATTTTCAGTACTAGGCACATCCACAAAATGCATGTGTACATCGGTTTGCTGAGGAATAGTCAATAAATGCTTTTAGTTCTGCTGCAAACTCTCAAACTACTCAAAGGTAGTTACTATTTGTTGAGGCCAGAAGAGACTCAGAGCAGAAACTCTGTTGCTGTTGTTCAAAGAGGCCTAGAGCTTTTGGATGTGTGGGTTTTTTGTGTGAAGCTTGAGCTCTTGAGAGCTGTTGGGCTAGATGTGAGGGCTTCACTAGCATAGCTGAGAGATGAAGCTGAGAGCTATGGGAAAACATCCTGCTTGCTTATTCTTGAAGGCTGTGCTCTGGAGCCAGCTAATAAGGTTTCTTAGAATCCTTCTCATGCAAAGTTAGAGACAGAGAGATGATCTACTTGAATAAAAGTCCCTGATACTTGGAAAAGTCCTGCTATAGTATACATGGGTACAGGGAGCACTGTGTGAAGGA